ATGAGAATAATCACATAGCTTCAATTTTTGAGGACATTTTTGATCTTAAAAGCTCACTATCAAGTCACATATCACATGACTTCATTTTTCAAGGACATTTTTGATCTCAAAAGCTCATTGTTGAAACATAGACCATATGATTATGAGTCATATGAAAGTAAGTCACATGGCTTCATTTTTTGAGAACATTTTTGATCTTAAAAGTCCACTACAAAATGGAAAGGTAAAACCTCAATCCATTTTAGATCTTGGAACTGTATTCTTACCAGTCTTTTTTTTTTCTTGTTTTTTCTCTTATTATTCTTTATGTTTTTTAGTCTTATAGCTATTTTTATAGCAAGAAATACATAAACTAATCAGGGGAACAGCAACAGTCACCTTAAAGATTAGTGGATTTTTTCTACACTAATTTTCTCTTACTTAGTGCAAGATCAAACTTTATTAGTTATATTAAAACAAAATATTTTCATGAAACCAATAACATAAGATTTAAGTCACTATTATCATATGAAGCATACTTGAAGAGACAGAAGAGGTGGTGTACATCTCTCAGAGACTCACATCCACTTAAAGTTCTCTCAATCAATTTATTTGTACTACCTTTTTATCTCTTTTTATATTTAATAGCTATTTTATAGCAAGAAATACATAAATTAATTAGGAGAATAGCAACAGTTGCTCTAAAAATTGGTGGATTTTTCCCTGTTAATTTTCTCTTACTTAGTGCTTTCTTACAAGTTTCTGAGCAAAATATTGTAATAAAATATTATATAATGGGACTTGTGTTTAGTGAGTGTCTAAAGTTACTCTTTCAAATTGACAGCTGATTGTCCTGTAAGTTTTTGTTATGCCTTCTCTGCCCAATTGACCCTCAATTAAGTCAAAAACATTGACCAAGTAGTTTGTAATGTTCATTCAGTGGATTGTCTACTTTACTTTTAGTCTGACCACCAACATTGCATGTGGCATGCTTTTCTTGAGCAAACAGGATTTCTATATCACCTTTCATGTACAGCTGCTTTAATGTGAGTTGTTTACATAGAATTTGGGAGAAATACATAAACTGATTAAAGGAAGAACAACAGTTGCCCTAAATATTGATGAATTTTTCTCTGCTATTTTTTTTTTACTTGGTATAAGATTAAACTCCCTTATAAGTTTCTGGTCAAAAAATTGCAACACTATATTAGGAATACTATAATACCACAACTAAAAACCAATGATGGGGCTCGAACCCACAACCTTTGCCTAGCCACTTCTTTTTTATGAAGAATAGGAAAGCAATGCTCTACCATTGAGCCACATTGGCAATGATCACTTTCTAATTCTAATAATCATAATTGTAAATGCTAAATGAGGCAGATGATGTCCTTGGTGATTTACTCCAAGAACATGCATCTAAGGAAAGGCTTTGTTGCAGGTACAGTACATGAAAAGAATCAGTTGTCAAATGTGTTCCCCTGCTCCTCCTTAGCTGCTGCTTGACAGTAGTTACATCCCCATGTCTCTTACTGCCCTTGATTTTCACAAATATGTTCAGCCACCACCAGTTGTTGATAAAGAGGCCTTCAAAAAATCATGCTCCCACAATAATTGAAGAAATTGCAGGAACTGCATTGAAATAGCAAGGCTGGCCTTCTTGAAGAGTACTTTAAAATCATTACCAATTTTGTCACATATCTTGAAGATCCTGACTTCCCAAGCACTATTGCCCAATGTCTATGTCTGATCAACCACTGGAACCTGTACATTAAAGACTTTGTTTCTGAGATACTACAAGAGGTACATTGGTATGCAGTAACAGTTCAGAGGTGGGCCTGTGGATTCCTTAAGTTCTTGATGAGTATCCAAAGTTGCTCTTTCACTTCAATATCTGATTATCCTGTAGGCCCTTATCACACCTCTTCTACCTAATTAACTCTCAATCAAGTTAAAAATATTAATGGAGTTGTTTGTGACATTTATTCAGTACATTATCTACATTATCTTTGATCTAACTACTAACGTTGCATGTGGCATACTTCTCTTAATCAAACAGAATCTCTATACCATTCTTTGTGCACAACTTTCCCAGTGCAATGTGTTTGAGTCCTACAATCAGCAGTGACATGCCAGTAGTGCATGCATAGATCACATGCAATGCATTTGAGCCCTGCAATCCAGGTGCTCACATCTGATGCAAAGGGCTTATGGGGCACAAGTGTGCATGCCTCCTGTCTGGCTGCCCTCAATGTTAGTGCA